GTAAGCAGCACAGAAGTGGGTAGTTCCATGTGCTTAAGAAGAATGAGGATGAGAAAAAACAAGGTATATACAACAGGGACATTACAGAAGGAAAAGAGGGATGAGTGTTTAGGAGCTTTAAAAAAAAAAAAAAGCGCGGAGGATCATAGAATGGCTTGGATTGGAAGGGACCTTAAAGATCATCTGTGGAAGCGTTTGGTGCTGCTGAAATACAAGGCAAGAGGTGTGAGCTCTTTTGGGGTGTGGGACAACCCACAGAAACAGGGTATAAAGGGCTCTGGTATCTGTGGGACCATGGTGGTAGCAGACATTTGTGAGTAGATGGAGGTCTAAGAGTATTTGGAAGTTGTGCTAGCAAAGGAATACAGCCTGGGAAATGCAGGGACACTGAAGTTTCTGAGGGCTCCAACTGGGAGATCAGATTAATTTAGACGATCTGAGAACCTCTAAGAAAACTCGTAGTGGGACTGGGGGAATGAAGTACTGGAAAAAAGGAAAGAAGGGGCCAGCCCCTCCATGAAGGAGGAAAACTAAGCACAGGATGGTTGAGAAGGCAGGAAACACAAGGACAGAGAGCCACAGGCAGGCATGCCCTGCTACCTGCTGAAAACTTGCTCCTTAACAGTGTGGGCAGTCACAATTTGACAGATGCCAAAACCGTATTTTCATAAGAATTAAGGTAATACAGGAAATGCATGGGAGCACAACATAAATGTAAATGTCTAGAGAAGCTAGAAAATGAGGAAACCACCACTTCAGAAAATAAGCAATATATGCAGAACTCAACTCTGCTTGCTGGAGCACTTAGAGAAGCTGGGCAGACAGGTGCAAGGTTTGCCAGCACGGATCAAGGTCAAACCTAGCAGGAATTGGAGGAAAGAGTTATTGGGCTCTTGGGACAGGTTCAAGGGGTAGAGATGTGCTACATTAGGAAACAAAGAGGGGAGCAGTGCTGTTGGTGAACAGAGCGAACCACAGAGATGAGGAACACACCAGAGGGATGGCTGTGTTCGGTCTTGCAGTTCTTTGTACTTCCCAATGCACTATATCTACAAGAGTCTTGTGAGCACAAGAAGGAAGCTCCTTCAGTTCCAAGTACACACTTAAAGTCAATGAACTAAAAAAAGTTTAGTAACTGGAGATTATGGCAAGTTTATTAAAAAAAAAAATAATACAAGTGTTTTTGGAAAAGCAGCCTAGCAGGAGGATATGAAAAGAAAGTCATTTTACCCTGAGCAAAAATCATTTAGTGGGTCTATGCACTGAAGGGCTGTTCATATTTGAAACCTGGGGAGCAAATAAGAGTGTTCTGAATAACTCTCTCTGGAAAAAAAAAAATGTCAAAAGTTATCAGAAGTATGGTAGCTGAAGTGCAACTTTATTTTGGCCTGTAAACAGGGGAAGTTTTGAGAAGCCATCCACTTGGATCTTCCAAGAAACATGTTAGGGAACCTGGAAGAAACACTGAGCTGAACTCCTGTATCCAACAGACATGGGCCAGCTGCCTGTTTTGTAAAACCTATATCCTTATCTGTTACTTCTCTCGGAGTAGCTATTTGCTTAGAGGCCAGAACAAAGATAAAACTCTGCATTTCCCCCATGTTGCCTCTCTTCAGCAAATCAAGGCTTCCAACCCCAGCAGCTACTTCAGAGCAGGGACCTCTGTCATGCCACAAGGAAGCTAGGTCTGTTAAGCAGCTGTTGATGCTGCATTGCTACTCTGGAGAAAAATGTTTCTTGTCTTCCCCACTGTCATGTGGTTACCCTGAAGAAGCCAACACCTGCACCCAGCTGAAGAGAGCACACAGCCTTCAATCAGTACACAGAAACCCCAGGAAAGACCAGGGCAAGTCCTAGGGCATTTAGAAGGTTTAAGACACATCCATTTAAGAGCAGTAGAGTTGAGGCCCCACCAAATCTGGAAGTGTCAGGCTGAAGCAGTTGATATGGGAATTGCACATTTAAAGGCAGTGCTTGAATTTCTAATTGTATTTTTTACAAACTACTGTTTGCCAATGCTTTGGTCTTGCTTTTAGTTCACATTTAAAACCACGTTTTGTCCTAATGGACAAAATGGCTAATGGACTCTGCAGGAACAGCAGAGGTGCTGATGGTTAAAGGATGTCACCTCAGCAGGTGAGTTCCCAGCAGATCATGGTACTTTAAACACTTACAGGGAGATTTATGGTTAGACATGCAAACCTCTTCTGCAGACTTGCACAACATGACTCACGAGTTGGGCACAACCCTGAGGCAGCTTCCAGCTGCATGTTCAGCCCCAGCTCTGTGCTCCAGAGCAGCTAGCCAGCTTTGGAAAGCAAGCAAGGTTTGGCTAGGGACTTGGGGACTATGTAGTCAATGGTCTGGAAACACATCTGTTTTAAGACAAAAAAAGAAAGTTTTTCCTACTCCCTACATAAACAAGGCTGAGAACTAACAGAAAGACAACAGAGAATTTGGCAGGAATTGTAGCAGGACTAGTTCATTCAGGTTGCGCAGGCCTGAGCTGTGCTGATGTTTAGATGATACGTGCCTCTCTAATCCAGCAGCCAGTCCAGACACTCTCCTTTCCTGGGAAGGCTTTCATCTTTGAACGAATTAGCCTAGCTGCATTGCTCCAAATTCATCATTGACCATACATTGTTCTCGTATGATTTTGGTGGTGTTTAAGATTGGACAATGATTGGTCATCAAGGAACCACAAGCCACAGGTTTCACAGCCTGAAGTTCGTAACAGCAGGAACAGATAAAGGCACAAGTATATAATTTCAAAATAAGTCCACACTGGATAAAGCTCTGTCATTTCCTTTTGATGAGTTTCAAGTGTACAGTGAAGCAGAACAAGGGGGCACTTACCTTTATTGCAGCCATGCTCAAAGATCTGCTGTGAACAGCATCCTACTCTTGGGAGTCTTCATTTGGATCAAACACACATGTCCCAACACCAATGGAGAATTGTTTTCTGGGTTTAAGGATCTGAGGATTGGTTGTTGAAATGCAAAAGCAGCACAGCCCAAGGAACTAGAGCCACCAGCAACACATCCTCCCATTCAGGGAACTGCCTCCCCACACATGATGGGGCTGGACATTTAGTGGAGAGAAGCTGAGTTGAGTTGGGCAACCACCTCCCCAGAGCTGCTGGTCCATACATATTGCTACAGACTTACCATGGAGCCAGTCCAGCACTCAGTTCCAGTACAACTGGAACTTCCATCATTGCAATGGAAGACTACCCGCTGCTTTGAGGGCCTGAGCTTCAGGTGTGTGTAGACTATGGAAGTGATGTTCCAAAGAAAGTTTGGTATCCCAGCCCCTCCACCCCCACGGACAGACCAGACAGACTCAGTAAGGTGGTGAAATGTGTTTCTTTGAGACCATTTAAAGTACATGAGCTGATTACTATAACAAACCAGATTAGATATTAGATTACAGATTTGTTTATAGAGTAAAGAAATACTGTAATGCTGTGGACAGTGGAGTTCATTGCTTTTACTCAGAGGGCTTTGGTGATTTTATTTTTATTTTTTTTTGCACCCATGCACAGAGACACAAAGGAGGGAAAGGGAGCAGAAGAGGCAACACACAACATCTAAGAGAAAGAAATGGATGAGACAGCCTAGGGGAACCTCAGCCCCAGAGGAACAGAAGGAATGAGGCACCAAAGGCTTTTTTAGAAGAGTTCAAGAGAACTGCTGGTCTGGGGGCCTCAAGCTTGTATGCCCCCCCAACAAAGTGATAGCAGTAAGTAGTACAAACAGGCCCTGGCTCCTCTTCAGTAGATGCACTTCTGACCATCCATCACATCTCAGTTCCACTGGGAATTAAGGAAGTGCTCAGGGGACGAGGGCTGCTTCACTCCAGATCTTCATGTCTGCCCTCACCCAAGGTGGATAGGGATGGAATCATAGGGAGATGAACTCGGCGCAAATGAGATGCTGGGGCATGGAAGTCAGCATGCAAAACCCAGCCCCTTCCCAGATGGGCTGTGAGGAGGAAAGGGGCTTCCCTGGCACGCCCAATAAAACAAAAAGCATCTGGTCCTCCCAGCTTTTGTACTTCACTCCCATCTGGGAACTCCAGTGAGGTTCTCCCCTGACTCCCCCACATCCTCTTAAGCCTAGACAGATCCCAGTATATTCTCAAACCAGTGTACAGCTTCCTAAATTAAAGGTTTGCCCTCTTTCCAGTCTAGATGACAGGCTACAGCTCAGCTTGTTAAAAAAAAAAAAAAAAGATGCACAATCCTTAGAAGACTTTGCAGAAACTAAGGAACAGGTTAGCTCATTTAATCCCAGGTTTGACAAGACATTCAAGCAATTCACAGTTCTTGCCATTTTTGAAGGAGAACAATGAGATTGCTTACAGAAAGCCACAGCATTACATGCTGCAAGTTTACTTCCAGCAGAGACCACCTTGGATCTAAATTCAAGAGAACCCATAGCAGGTAGGAGGATTTCAGTTTGATAGGCTAGATCTCTAGAGATCTAAGTTGCCAAACTGGGACATCTGATGGCACTTTGCAATACCCATGCCCAGAGCAGCATTTCCCTTCAAACCCTTAGCTAACCATTCTGAGTATTTTCTAACTCTTGATGAAAGTTAGAGCTTTGTGGTAGCAGGAACAGAACAGGTATTTGTAATCAGAAAGCTGTGTGGCTTGTTCAGTCTCATCTGGAATACCTCCAGTCTCCTTCACCTCCATCTGCTATGTGTCTTCCTTTGACATTCAACCCAGTAACACAAAAGCAAAACACCCATTCCCATTCCCACTCTGTCACTACCCCAAAGTCTTCCAGCATATTACAGGGTAGTAGAAAGCCACAGGGTCCTGGCTTGTGTCTGCACAGATGAGAGGAATATTTGACACCCTCCACCAGACTCCTTACTGGTGTTCTTTCCTTCCTTCTGGCAGGAGATTTTACTTCCACATGTGCCTTTCTGATAGTAAGAAAACTTCTTTTACTTAACTGTGTTTAGTCTGTTGCACTTAACTGAGGTAATCATGTAGGCTCTCCTTTATAATAATTGAAATGGCCGTGTTCAGACAGCAAGTCATCTGAAAATAAGGACAGGCAGAATAAATTGTTTCTTCAGGTGCTGATCTCTCCATGGCTAGAGAAATCTAGATGACTGTATCTATCTCAGTCAGATAGCTCACAGGCACTGACCCACACAAGCTAGCCTTTATTTCAGAAGCTCAATGAAAAGCTTAAGTCATGCTGCCACTCTTTTTAGGCAGAACACTAAAGAATCTCACACGCTAAAGTCCTTCTTGCCCAAAGGCACTGCATTAAGGCAATCTTATTTTGCTAGTCCACACAGGCACTATTTGACAAGCTCACAGCGAAAAATAAACTGGAAAAATTCCCCGTAGAAGAGCAGGAGCAACTGTTACCCACTCCTCTCTACCTCTCTTTCCTCTAAACTCAGAGAACCCTCCCTAAAGCTCCAGTAGCTGTTGAAGACTCTAACCATGTTCAGTAGAGCGCTTCAGAGTCCCATACATATTAAAACCAATAAATAAATCAATGGAGAAGCTAGGTGGAAGGGAAGGAAAGATTTAGGAGCAAGAAGAGACAGGCAAGGTGACAGGAGGCTGCAGACTGAAGGAAGCTACATTCAAGTAAAAACGTAGACTGGAGACAAAGCAATAGAGGAAAAAAAGGAAAGAACAAAAGGGCAAGTTACACCAAAGCTCCCCCAGAGACCTCCAAATCCCTCACCAGGGATGGGACTTGCCAACCCACCCTCTCCAAGGTAAATGCCCCTCATACTCTCAAGTTTACTTGACCTGGCAGACAGGATTTCCCATTTCTACAACAATGGTCACCCCCAATTCCTTCTGTTACTGTGTAAAGCATACCATTTCCACAATAAGTGTGGGAGTTCCAGCACCACCACCTCCCTTCCCAAAGGGCTGAAGTTCACACTTAGGCAACCAAGACCTTCCAAGATATCAAACCAAAAAGGAAGAAGGTACTCTAGAGTTGGCACTTCTTCACCTTTGATCATGGGCTTTTTGGTACTTACTTACAATCACCATCGCCACAATGGCACAAATCACTCCCATCATGATCATCATCTGGAGAGAGAGATTGCCAAAGAGTATTAGAACAGACTGACAAGTTCACATCTTCCCTGACAGCCAGGGAACACAAGCCAGACCCTGAAGGCAGGACAGCTGAGGCCTCAAAGTTTTACACAATGAAAGAATCCTATGCCTTTGAAATAATTAGGCCAAACTATCCTCTCAAAGCCCTGCAGGAGGGGACTAGCCCCATTTCCTTCTAATGCAGAGATCATGGCACTAGGAAACTCACCTTGCAGTTCTTCCACCAGTACTTCCTTTTGAGTTCTGCTGCGCTTCTTTCAAATACTGAAGCGCTGGCCTGAAGTGCATCTGCCTGGTCATCGAGCTCTAACAGTTTCTGGTCTCGTTCCAGCACCTTGTCTACATTTACACGAATTATGTCAACCACCTGCAGAAGGAAGAATAGTAGCAGCAGCTGTATTGATAAAGAGTTGAAAAAGTAAGAGGACTAACTTGGCCAATAACTAACACTGAGATGCTAAGAAGTGAAAGCCCCAAACAAGGCAAATGGGTCAGGATAAGAAACAGCTTTCCAGTCATTGCCAGCTTTGAAGCGGTGTGGTGGTTTCACTCGGCTGGCAGCCAAACACAGACCCTGGGGAGTAGGGGAAGAGAATCGGAAGGGTAAGAGCGAGAAGACACTCATGGGTTGAGATAAAAACAATTTACTAATTGAAATAAAATAATAACAATAGTAATAACAGAATATGCAGATGAGTGATGCACAGTGCAATTGCTCACCACCCACCAACCAATGCCCAGTCTGTCCCCAACCAGTGGTACCAGAGCAGAGAGAGTCCCAAAACCACAATCCCAGAAGAGCTTCAGTGATCCCCAAGACAATACACCAGCTTTCAGGTCAACTGCCGTTAATATACTGAGCATGATGTGATATAAGATGGAAAAATCCCATTGGCATATTCAAATGCCAACTTCGGGTTCTGCTAATGTGTTGGGTTGAGGGGGCGGGTGGGGAAAGGTCACCTTGTGAGAGCGAAAAGC